GCCTGGCCAGCTTGACTTTTTTACTTGTCTCCTGGTGGAAAGCCACAGTAGACAAGGTCCCAGAGAACTACCACCACTTGGTCCCAAGGCAGACCTCTCCACAGCCATCACCCAAAGAATGCAGTGGCTAAGGTTGGGGCAGCAAGGTGGTGCAAAGAAGGTATGGCAGAAATCGCCAATATCAGGACTAAAAGCACCTAACAGCTGGTGGTGAATTTGGCATTCCTCTTCCCTCAGCAATGCTGTTAAGTCTTCTTATCCCCTGGTTCCTTCTGCACCGGCTCCCAGGATGGGATTAAAAGGGGAGTATTCCCAAAAGCTGCTTCCAGGGCAGGGCTTACGATACACCAAAGTTCAAAAAACAGTTACAAAACAGTAGATTCAGTTTAAGTGGCAATATTATGTATATATCTTTGCTTCTGAATTGTCTACCTTTTATGTAGTATCATTTCCATAATAGGGCATAAAAGGAGTAAGTGATAGTTTTTTTTCAAAAAGGCTGTGCCAGAGAAAATTTGAATGACAGCATTGTTCAAAATCTGGTTGGCTCTGATAGATGTAGCTGTAGACGTAGATATAGATATAAATATATTTTTTAACCATGTCTTCTGGTTTAAATATAAACACTGAATTTCAGAAATCCCAGTTTATGATAGGTACTGCCTTTTAGGGTGTTTGTCTCCATTATGTCTAGTTCTGAAAAGATACATAGCTCTGTATCAGTTTAATTTCAGTTTTCTTGTTAGGCCATTTTGGTGATCATCTCCTACATACTGTAATGACAACATTTTTACATCATGTGCCTTCATTACTTCGGTGTGGTCTGTTGTTACTTATAGAACAAAAAAGTCACCATAAACAAGTCAAAAGCAATTTGATGCTAACTACCCAATATGCAAGTTTTGGTAGCAGTAAAACACAGCTTCGTTTCATGAGAGGGGCTTACTGAGAAGACAGCTGACATTTGACATTCCTAACACTGGAAAAAACCATAAAGCTAGATGGCTACTCTAAAATGTCATTGATTAGTTGAGAGCATTCAGTTAATTATGTTAAGTTTTCATTGATTTGAAGTAGTTTCAGGGGAGACCTCTCTGTATTAGTGAAATGTTTTTGTTTTTAAAATATTTTTAAAGGAATACAGTTTATTTCTTTCAAATAATCACACAAATTTAGTATTCCAAAGAGAGCACTTTGTGATTCTTTAAATGAATAGATAAGAAATATCTTCTAAGGCATCAGTAAGACTTCAAAATGAAAACATTATTGTTTGACCATAGACAAAAAATGGTAACCTATCTGGTAATTAAAGCCATACAAATTTAAATTTCAATGAAATGTTATTTTCACCTATGAAATAACTAAAAATTTTTGAATTGAGAATACTGAGAGCTGGATAAGCATATAAATTTTAGAAAGAGGCTAATAGTTTGTATCATTTCGCTCAGCAAATCAGCCCCTGGAAATCTATTTTGAGGAACTAGTCTTAAAGATAGAAAGCTCTCTTTGCACAAAAATGTTCACTGCATTATTATCAATAATAGAATAAAAAACTGAAATGTCCATCATTAAGGAAGTTAATTATATAAGTCATAGTATACATGTGCAGTAGATTAATACCCAGCTGATAAATGTGATTTATGCAGAATTTATAACAGTGTGGAAAACACTCATTAGGAAGAAAAAATAGTAATAACAATTTTATATGTTAGGAAGTCAGCCCTATTTTAGAACTACATATTAATGAAGACAGAAGGAGATACTGAAATTTTAAAAATCTCTTAAGCTCAACCATTTTACTTAGGGTCTTATTTATGCCAATATGTAATCATTCCTTTTTTTATTATTGCTTGGACAAAAGTAAAAGTAAGCTGTTCCCTTTCCAAATTATCTCACGTGCCAAGTTATGAAGGTCATAGTAACATCTTTACCTTAAAGCAGAAATATCTTTAGATACCACATTTAAGTTTTCCAAATATTTTCCCTTCATCGTCCTTTTATATTTGTGTTTTTCAACGTATTATTTATGTATCTCGTGATTTTGCGGCATTACTTTCTGGAAGAAATGGTATTTCCTGGTATTTTCTCCTTGCTCACACATCTTTCTACCCCCTATAACGCCACAAAACTAGAATTCTGAGATGGTATTTAGAGGCTGTTAGGAAGTAGAACCTATATATTTGTTTTAATTTTTTTCCAGAGGTTCTACAGCACATGGGGATTATTTAACAGTTTCTAAGCACACATGATCCATTTACAAAGACAAAGCACCTTTTGTTTCTATAGTTATTTTTATGTAAAGCTATTAAAGGAACAGGAAACATCTTTCGGCAGCCTTTTTCCCTAGCACTGCCCCAAAAATAGTCATTAGTATTAAGCATAACAGAGACTAAAATTGTTTCCCATAGATGCTTGGAGAAAGGCTGCAGGGTAACACTAAAGCATTTGGGGTTATTTATAATAAAGCTTGTGCAAAAAACAAGATGCCAATTCACGTGTCAGGCAGACAGTGGCAGCTGCTTTGTTACTATGTGGCGCTGTCCCATCCTAAATCAAATGGGAAATGGGTACTGTTTGACAGATACTGTCATCAGTTACAAACATTATTAAAATAATGAAAAAGCTGCTGCTTTTTTTTTTTAATCTTGGGGACAGGCTGTTGATTTCTTCGGGTTTTCCCAACCCTGGTGCTCAGGAGTCCAAGATGAATATTCCTGCACCAGATTTTTGATCCAGCCAAGGCTGAGCTGCGATTTTTTTTTATCCCAGTGGGACAGTGTAGCTACGTTCTTGGCGTTTTCTGCCTATTACCAGTTAGGGTCTGTGAACAGAATCTCCATTTGTGAGAACCTCATTGTGGATAGCACGCAGTGGTCTTTTCATTTTGATTGATGGTTCTGGTTCTGCACCATCTGGCTTCTGATAGGCTGCATTAATCATATCCTGAACTAAGAAAGTGTAGACATGTCTGCTTAATATGTACCCATACATAATGTAACATTAGTTATTCATTCAGCTTGCAAAACAGTCATAATGTATGCAAGGTCTTTATATAGTAAAACATAAATATTAATATGTGACCCATTAATGCTGTTTTTACTTGTACTAACCTCCCACTAGTGCATTTGTTTATGAAGATTCAAATTAAGAGAAAGAAGGCCATGTGCACATTTCCATGAACACATATAGTTTTGCTGATGTCTCCTATGAATTTAGAGTGATGTATGTGTGAAATACTTATTTGCCCATATTTACTTTATATCTCTAATTGCCTCTTGAAATACAGGTTAAATGCAAGCTGCAACACAGATTAATTTTTTTCTCATGTGAACTCCTTGCATCAAATGTAGGTCATCCATTTGCCGGGGTCGTGGGGGCGGATGTGGCTGTGCTCTTTTGTGCTGCCTCTGGCTGGGCCCACTCTGTCCCCTGCTGTGTGATAATGTCAAGAAAAAAAGAGGGGCCAGCAGAGGCCAGACAGGAATTCAGAAGTCAAACAAAGTTTGCTCCGGATTTAGGACCGTCATACTTACCAGTAGCTCAAATTCGGTTTTAAAAATTTGCTAGGGCCTTTTCCATTTAAGAGAAATTTAGTGTGTACTAATCATAATCCTTTCACTACCTAGGGGATTTAAATTCTCCTGGGAAGTTACCTTGTACAGAATTACTGGAGCATATTGCTTGAGATAGCAAATTAAAACCATAACTTGATAAAACACATTTTATGTTTTATTAATTATGTTTTGTCATAACAACACTGTATTCCCGTGTGGTTACATCTTCTTGTATGTGCCCCCAAATCAAAGTATGTATTTTAATGAATTATGCTATTGCAGAATAAGTGAAGATTAATGCTTGTGTGCTGCAGAATGCAAAACACAATCCACACTGTAACAGTAATCAATCATCGAATAATGCATGGAAAACACGGCAAACAATCATAGTTTTTATTAAGAAATAACTAAACTGCAACTTCTGCTTGAAACGTAATTGCAGTGAGGTTTAATTAGTCACATAAGCTCTATGAGCAATACCAACAGAAACTGTATAAAATGTAATGCAGGGATTCAAACTGACATCTTAAGAGTTTCAAATATTAAGATAACACCATGTAGAAAGCTGGAAAGAATAATTTCAGAAATAAAATTAGGACTTTAATGTCCAGCTCCTCCTTTCTTATTTTAAAATTACTTTTGTCTGATTCTTCCAATAGTTTAGATCCCATTATTGCTTAATTTATTCTATTAAGTGATTTTTAAAAATAAGCCCACTGTCAAGAATACAGCATTGACAAACCAAACTAGACAGTAAGAAATCTTGTATGAATAGTCTATGACCTTGGGCACACTGATGTCATTCTAGGAATTTGTGAAGAGTGCTAATTTTCATCAGAGAAGGCAGAGTTTGTGTCTTGACTTTGTCTCCAAACTAGCTGAATGATCTTAAAAATGGGTTCAAACTGACTGGCCTATTTCTAGATTAACCCTCATTTAAAGATATAATAGTCTGAGTGAGCTTTTTATCTTAAAAAAAAAAATGTTTATTAACCTCAAGCCTGGTTTCTTATCTTAAAATTGAAGATCATCCCTGCCCTTAGTTTTAGTTGTATGTGAGGGTCACATGAGATAATGTGTGTGTGTTACCAACTTTTAAGTACTTTAAAAATATATGTACTGTCATTTTTATTGATTAAATTTTCCTGGATTTCATCTGCTACATTCATGAGAGTATGTGCGATGATACATTCTCCTTTCATGTCACAGTAAATTTTAAGAACCAATAAAATGATGAATACATGTGTTTGCTGGTGCCTGGATTTCTATTCTTGTGTTAAGTTCCCTCTAGAGTTTACAGGAGAGGTTAAAAACTACTTTTCCCCTGGAAAGGACCATATGCTAGTTCACTACATAATTACAATATGATATAATTTTCTTCTTCCAGCAACATATAAACTATTGGACTGTGCTTCTTTAAAATTAAGGACATTCATCCTGAAGCTGGGACAGGACTGAAAGGGAAGGTATTTGAAACCAAACCATTTGTTTAGCTCAGGAAGGCAGTGCCAGAAAGACAGCTTTCAAGAGGCCAGTGCTCCACTTCTCCATTGGAGAACGGGTGCCATCCAGAAGGGGGCATGAACAGATGGGTAAGTTAGAGAACCTGACAGCTTTCCTCTCCCTCCGCAAGTCATCAGTAGACTTTGATTGGAAAGGTAGTAAACTCCCAGAATGCCAAATAAATCCCTCTTTCAAGTATATAAATACCAAAACAAAAGTGACTTTTTTATTTGTAACATTTCAATGAATTTTAATGTTTTTGTCTTATCATGAATATATGAGTGTTTACACTGGTATTGTCTCCTTTTAGTGTTACCAGCTTGTCCGAAGGATAACGAGACATATGTGTGTTCTCCAATTCAGGGAAATCACTGTAGGCCATGCTTTGTGTTTACTTCGACTTTAAGTGAAGTTAGGTGTCCTCTGTATACTTCTACCTAGTGTCAAAGCACAGATTCATATGTGTGTAAACAATGTGCTTATGATACGACTCAATAGTCTTTATATACAGGTTTTTAAAACTCATTCATTTGTTGTCTTTATGCACAAGACACTGAAAATACAAACGATAAGATTCTGTGTGGTCCGATGTCTTGACACACTCCAGGCTGTTGGGGAGGATGGAGATGAACACCCAATTTTAATTGTAGGATTCATATGTAATGCCATTTCCACCCCTGTTATTAATCACTGTATTATTAGTAGGAGTATTAATAGCAAAGCATAAATGTGTTTTAAAGGAATCTTGTTATGAAAGTTTAACAGAAGGTCATTCGAAACTTTGAAAGCACAAAGTAGTCAGTGCTAGCTTCATGCCTGAAAATGGTTGTGGGGACCATGACTTATTAATTATTTCATCAAATAAATCTATTGCTCTTTCCCCTAAGAACTAAAACTGTCTAATTTTTTTTTCCAAGACCAGTATTTAGGGGTTTCTCTAAACTGTTGTGGCATTTGTGGCAACTTCACCAAGAACGCGCTGGTCCCAAGGTACCTTTTCGAGTTTCACATCTGCCTTAAATTGCAACCAAGAAAACCACGTGGATACCCATCCAAATCACTGTCCAGTGCTTTTTCCTTCATAGCACTGAACTCGTGTTATTTCTTTGACTGCTTCTCCAATCATAAAGATAACACGGAGGAATTACTTCCTAGCTGTCTCTCCTATACTGCAAAAAATTATTGCCCTCTGCTCTTCCCAGAGGCCTCCAAGGTTACTGACAGCCCTGACCAGTGTCTACCATTGCCATCCCCTCGCCCCCACCCCTTACTAAAGTGTCCCACCCCATACCCTAGAATACAGATTAGAATCAAAGCAGGAACTATTGGGAGGAGAATGGGGGTTGGGACAGTCATGCATTATGCAGAGTTTGTCAGTGTTCATGTGAACAAAAGGTCACCGAGACTCATCAGATTTATAATGGAGAAAGAGTATCGTTCTCTGCCTTTAAAAATTCCTTATTTTATAGTTTACCTAGTATGCTGCAATTATTTAATTTTGAGTTAAAGATACTGTTTGTGGCAAAAAACCTATTTATTTTTAATCATAGTTGATTAACCTGTATATTACTAGTTACGAGTTATTTCAGTTATTTACAGTTTGTACTTGACCATCACTGCCAAATGCAGATTTCTCGTGTAAAGGAACTATTCTCCTTAATTTATTTTCTTTTTCATAGCCTGTTATGGTTTTTTAAAGGAGTTAAGGCATGAAAAAACCCTTAAACAATAGGCTAAAGTCGTCCTCTAAATATGTGAGATACTTATCTTTTCAGAGAACCTGTATAATTTAGGGACGTTGTAGGAAATAAAACACATGTAGAATGTGAATTTTTTTTCTTATTTAAAGCAATCACTTTATTAGGTTTCTAACCAAATGTTAGAGGAAGTAGGAAGATGCTTATCAGAATAAAATAACCTGTAAGCCATGGTGTCCATATTTTTCCAGGAGTGGAAAGCCTTCCTATCACGGCTATTCAACTTTCCATTCCACAAACACCATCGTTTATAAACATTTCTAAAACTGCTCTCTGTGTAGCATACACATATGCCCTGTCTCAGTCTCCTTTCAGTTGTATTCTTGCTGTTTTATTCATTTTCCCCCTTTTCCCTTTCACATTAACAAAGTAGTTCACTTTCATATGTATTGCTAGAGTTGTATTTTTGTTTCAAATGGTGACTGCATCCCTCAACCCCAAAATGTCTGGGTAAATAGTTTATGGCCATCTGTATTCTGTCATGCAAAAGAAGATGGTTCTTCCAAATAAATTCAGTGACTCAGCCATCATAACCAACATTGTATGGTTGCGTGCGTGCGTGCGTGCGTGCATGTATGTGTGTTTTGGGGGGAGCTATCATTTTATAATTTCATCCACAGACAACCACAACCCAGAGCTTTTTAAATGCCTATCTTTTAACAAACATAATTTTATTTCTAACATTTTTGTAATCCAAATGTGCTAAAACATCTAGGCAGCATGCTGTGTATCAGAAAGAGTAAGTGCTTTGCAGCCAAGTGAACCTGGCTTGGAAAATGCTTTCTCTCATTGACTAGCTGTGAAACTTTGGGCACGTTTCCTAATCTATCTGACCCTCATATTTGTCATCTGTGAAACAGGGAAAATAGTATCTACTCTATGACAAATAAAACTCAAAACAACTGATTCATAGTCAGTAGTCATAAAATCTCTTGCCTATTTCCTTTCCCTTTCTTCTAAATAATTTCTTGGATAATATGTTCAGTAGTCTAGACACTTGGAAATACTGAATTATTAAATATTTTCATGTTTCATTTCTCATGTCTTTCAATGGCAGTTGAAAAAAATATATTACCATTGGACATAAGCATCAATTAGCTCAGTCAAGCCCATCTGTATACATGAGGTCAAAGTCAGGTCCCACCCCAGAAAACATGGTGAAGTCAAGTTTGCCTCCTCCAGCAGCGAGCTTCTCCTTTTCCGCTCTGTGTGCCCTTCTCGCTGCTTATGGACTCAGTGACCTCGCGCTGTCTGCAATCATCCACAGTCAAGCCTGCTTTCGACAGAGAATGTGAGAAGCACATCCATTACAAGATATACATTATTGAAAAGGGTCAATAGGAGAATCTCCCTGGCTATTTTCATTTTAACAAAAGCGACGGATTTAAGTCAAACTATTAACTACTAATTGTTGATTCTTAGGTGTTAGTGAACCTTTCTGTTTTCTAGCAGACATTCTGGAACTTGTGAATTACGGTGTCCCTGAAAATTATTTTTAATTGGCTCTTTTGCCTTTAAGTGGCTCCTTTGGATGACTTCTGACCCTCCAAAGAGATCCACAAATCACTGGAAACTGCTCCCTTCTGGCAGAAGCCCATTTCACTTGTGAGCAAGTCATCCAGTAAAAGGCACAATGTCGTCAAGGAAGGGAATTGGGAACAGAACAGAGGATGTTACTTACAGCAGAACTACTAACTATGGTTATTCCTGGTCATCAGCATTTCCCAAGAAAGACTTAAAGAGCAAGAAAAGATAGAAAAAAATAACTTCTGCCTTTAATGCAAAATCAGTTTTACTGTGCCTTTCTTTTCTTTCCTTTTTTTTTTTTTTTTTTCCCTTGAAACAGGGTCTAGCTCTGTTACCCAGGCTGGAGTCTAGTAGTGTGAACATGGCTCATTGCAGCCTCCACCTCCCAGGTTCAAACAATCCTCCCACCTCAACCTCTCGAGTAGCTAGGACCACGGGCATGCACCACCATGTAGCTAATTTTTAATTTTTCATAGAGATGGGGTCTCACTGTGTTGCTCAGGCTGGTCTCAAACTCCTGGGCTCAAGTGATCCTCCTGTCTCAGCCTCTGAAGTGCTGGGATTGCAAATGTAAGCTACTACTCCCAGCCTACTTGCCTTTCTTTAAAATCTCTACTTTTAGAAAATATCTGAAAGCAAATAAAAACCTCATTAATTGTGAAGAGCATGTATTACAAGCAAGAATATCTTGTTTCCCCTCAGGTGAATTACAAGGATATTTTCTTCACAACCCTTAATAAGATAAAGACTGCAAACACGCACAGATAATTGTTGATAATCTCAGCGTTGTGCTGACTTTTTGTTTCTTTGTTGTGCTCTTCTGATAGAGGATTTTGGTACATACGGAAGATCAAGGAGAAGGAATATAGAGGAATTCATTTAATTGCCAAATATTTCCATGAAACGTGAATAATACACTGTCAAACACTAGATTATTTACTGCCTTGTGTGTTTGCTTAATTATATCTTAGTAACTAGACTGGTCATTTCTCAAGGATAAGGACTATGTCTTACATCTTCAAACACCCTTAAAGGAACCTAGGCTAGTAGTTGACATTGAATAGATTCTAAGTAAATTCTTGCTGACTGGAATAACATTTATGGCAAAGCTACTTACAGATTACTTGTACTGAGACCAAATGTAAACGCTAGAGTCGGACATGGTTTTCTTTGGACACACCTTGGATGTGACCGATGTCCTCCCCACCCCCCCTTGGGCATACCTTTATAATAAAACTTTAATTCGGTCAAACTGGTATCACTGCATGTTTCTAAGAGGCTTGTTCACTTTCTGACCAAATTCTCCATCTTCTACCCAGGGTTCTCGGTCGGGGTTGGTGCCACTCTGTCAAGGGGGTACATGGAAATAAGGAGGGGTTGGTCGTTGCTAGTGGTGCTACTGGCATTACGCTGCTAGGCGCCGGAGGTGCTAAACATCCTCAGTGTTGCAGTCTGCCACAGCAAAGCATTGTCGTGCTCACAGCACCACTAGTGCTCAGCATTAAAAAACACTGGATTCCTGAAAACCTTGTCCTGCTTCGTATATTAGTCCGTTTTCAGGCTGCTGATAAAGACATACTCAAGGCTGGGAAGAAAAATAAGTTTAATTGGACTTACAGTTCCACATGGCTGGGAGGGCTCAGAATCATGGCGGGAGGTGAAATGCACTTCTTAGTTGGCGGCAGCAAGAGAAAATGAGGGGAGAGGCAAAAGCGGAAACCCTGGTCAACCCGTCAGATCTCGTGAGACTTAACTCACTATCACGAGAATAGCATGGGAAGGACCGGCCCCCAGGATCCAGTTACCTCCCCCTGGGTCCCTCCCACAGCACGGGGGATTCTGGGAGTTACAGTTCAAGTTGAGATTTGAATGGGACACAGCCAAACCATGTCACTAAGCAAGCCTTATATTTCACCACTCCCCGCTTGCACGCTATATTTAATCCTTACTGAGCTACTTCGTTCTGGATCATGCCAAGCTCTGTCTACTTCTGCATCTTTGCAGATTTTATTTCTTAGGCTCCTGACCTACTTTCTCTGCTAGCGAATGTTTTTTAATCCTTCAGCACTCAGCCCAGGCACCTCCACAAAGCCTTTGCTTCCTACAAACCCAGCCTGGAATAAGTGGCATCTTTATGTGCTTCCCTCTGCCATGACATTTGTCCCAATGAGTTGTGGTTGTTTACTTTCGTATCCTCCTACTAGATCAAAAGCTACTTAAGTTGTATGTCCCAGCAGTTCACTCAATGCCTGACATATAGTGGGTACTTAATAATTTTTTAATGAATGCCTTTAAATCAGTGACACTGTCAGACAGGAGTTAGTTCATCTGGCATATATTCACTGTGTATTCCTCATAACTTCATGCCAAGGAAGAGTCTTGGCATGAAGCAACACTGCCATTATGGATGGGGAAGAAACCTTAGGAATGAGGAAGAAGTGGCAGAGAAATGATCCACATAAGAGGGTCAGCTCAGGCTTCATTCGCTCAGTAGCCCTTAAGACCGTGAGTGGGATGCGGTGGTAGAAGGGGCCCAGCCGACACTGCTCAAAGTTTGGAACTTGGATGCAGGCTGTCCACAAACATATTGACCCAAAATCAGGTACCTACAGAAGTAGGAGTAAGCATTTAGGAATTTGACAGAATAATTTTGTGTGTCTTAAATCTTATACTGAAAACATTGGTGCTTGTCTTTAATGCCATTTTTTCTAGCCTTTAATCTTCATCATATCTTATAAATAAATTGGTTCCTGGTGGATCTGAATTTTTTTTTTTCCAAAGAAAGAAGGAAGGAAAAAGATTTCAATAGCTGGTCCTCAGTCGTGGGCACCAGACTGATCTAGGTATTCCCAGCAATGACTCTTGGTTTGTACCAGATTCCAAGTTAGATGCCAAAGAATCAGGAACTTTCTGCCAGTTCTTTGCTTCCTTTTCTCCCTTCCTGGCAAGAGGTTGGCTTACTTGAGATACAGGCAAGCAGGTAGGACAGGGTCCTCTCTGAGTACCTAGATTTCTACATAAGCCAATAGTACTTAGCCAGAGCTGCCATAAGAAGAAAAAAAATTCTGCTCGTCTGGATCAAGCCAGTCTGACAGAACACTGGGACACCATAGCATCTGGGGTGCCCTGTTTTCCCCCAAACAGCAGAGTTTATGGTAGCATAACTAAGTCTAGCACCTGCCCCCTGGTGGACTAGAGGCCACCAGTATACCCTTCATTCTGACGACGATGAGCTCAAGAAATGTATGAGACTGGCTGGATTCATAGGCTAAGGAGCCTCACTGGCAGCAACTCAGCAGGTTATGGGAGGCAGTGGCCAATGTGCCTAGGGTGAGAGGAGCATAGTGCCAGGTAGTGTGAAGATTCAGACGTGAACAGTGTTGTTGACAGTTTGAACCCAAAGCATGGACAAAAGTACAAATAGAATGCTCTAGGAGAAAAAGAAGTTCAGAAAGTGATATGGCAACCTTAAAGAGTAAATACGAACCAGTTTGCGTGCAGATTCAAGCAAGGCACATTACTTTTACAAACTTATTGGAAGAAGTTGAAGATGGTAATGGTAGTGGTACATTTATTGACTGTTAAGTAAGAAGCAGTATGACCCTCATAAAGATTGTTTATATGTAGCAGGGTTGAAGTGCCACGTGATAAAACTCATAAGCTTTACTTACAAGAGTTCTAACTAACGTAGAAAAAAATCCTGCCAGACATCGTGTCTGCTTTGTTTGGAATAGAAGCATAAATATCTAATTTGCCTTGTTACAGAGAAGAATGCATGATCTATGCAGCATGTAACCAAATAATCATCCTATCAGGCTCCAAATGTAGGGAACATAGTTAATTTGCTGCTTTGCCCTAATCCTTTTTTTCAGATGGTGAAACAAAAATCTCTACATTTGTACTTCATTTAGTCATATTTCACCTCTTAGAAGCTAAAAACACAATTTTGCCAGAAGATCAAAAATAAAAGCAGCCAATAGCATAAGTCAGTATACCTAAATTAGGAAAGTTAAAAACACACACAGTAATAAATTTCGGAAAGTTTTTTTTTTTTTTTGCTCTCAGCATTTCTCTAGTCTGTAGGCCTTTTTTTCTTTTCCATTTAAGTGTTGTGTCATGAAAGCAAGTGTGTCTGTAATGATAAATATGTCTCAGGGGTGCAAGGTAGGACCCTATAAACCTTTAATATTAGCATTTCATCACAAAAGTTGCTTTGTTAATTTTTCTGTTGAAGAAAAAAGGGTGACTAGCAGCCTGAAACGAAAGCTTAGTTTTTGTTTTTAAACAAAATTGACTTGATGTGGTTTAGGTTGAAAACTGGATTTTATTTTTTTTAATTTGTCAGGCTTTTATTTTTTAGGGGGTGCCTTGCCTGTGTTAGATGTTTCCGTTTCCTGGTGTATTTGTAATACCCGAAAGCAAATGAATTTTTATGAAACCATAAAAATGATCAACTGTATACTCTTATATAGAATGTTCATTTGCAGCATAATTGTTTAATGCTGTTTTCTTTCCACATTAAGTCGCCCCGAAAGACTATTGATTGTCGCAAACGCTGTTTCTTCATGCCAGAATTCTCCAGACCTATGTCTCAAGGGACCCTAGTCAGGAGGGTAATTGTGTGTGTTTCTGCTCTCTATTGAATGCCTGGTGACAGCCTGTCTGGACTGACTCAGGTTGTAGAACAGTGCATTTCACAATGCTGAGAAGCCTGCCATTCTGGTGTCAAGTGGGAGTAACCCCTCAGTTATGGCTAAGGGAAGAGAGAGTTAGATGGTGAAAAACAGCACAAGTTTAGTCGATACGTTGTATTCAGAAAAGACTGAGATACCGTTCTATGTGAAGTCGTAATTTTTGCCTTAATTTATAGATATGTGCCCAAAGCGCGGTATTACTTTCATTTGTGTAGTACTTTCTACAAAGCACCTTACCTATGAATCATCTCAGCACCTAGACAAACAACTCTCTTTGATCCTCAGTTTTCTGATCTGTATAAGTGGTGTAAAATTGTACAGCATCCTATTAGCCAGCCTCACAGACTTGTGAAGGTCAAATGTAATGGAGCTTAGACATGCAAATGTTATTTTCCCACCACAAGAGTAAAGTCACATAAATGAACAACTGTTTTTAAAGCAACTAGTAAATGCTAAATACTGTGCCGTGGTCAGCGGAGTCCAGTTTCCTATACTGGGAATGGATTCTGGCATTCCTGTGACATTTTATACTGAATCACCGGTTCTTAAAAACTGGATGAGGCTAGGCGTGGTGGCTCAGGCGTGTCCTCCTAGCACTTTGGAGGCCAAAGCGGGCAGAGTGCGTGAGCCCAGGAGTTAGAGATCAGCCTGGGCAACATGGTGAAACACCATCTATACAAGAAATACAAAAAAAAAAAAAAAAAATTAGCTGGGTTTGGTGGCATGTACCTATTGGCCCAGCTACCTGGGAGACTCAGGTGGGAGGATCACCTGAGCCCAGGAGGTTGAGGCTGCAGTGAGCCATGATCATCATGTCATTGCGCTCCAGCCTGGGTGACACAATGAGACTGACCTTTTCTCTACAACAAACAAAAAACAAAGATGAGACTAGGTTAATTGAGGATGGGGTGAGGAGGGAAATAAGGGATGTGCCCTAGCTTTACATATTTTCTAAGATTTTCTGTTTGAAGTATCCTTATTTGCTTTAAATTTGAGATTTACACAAAGTGATTTCAACCTCATGACGTATCCAAAATAAGTTCTGCTTTGCTAGGCTTGAGCCCTAGGGGGTCATGTCCCCTTAGGCTGCCCAGAGCCTTCAGGATTGTAATGTGTTACACATGTTTCTACGAGAGCCGCAGAGCTGGATGCGTGGAGCTCATTTGCATGCACTTGATTCACAGCCTCTGTTTCCAGGCAGTCACATTTTCCTTCTCAGAACAATGTCCTAACTGTTGAAAGTGTCCAGATTTCTATGTTTGTTCTGAATGACGAAGAGCAGAAAGTCTATAAAAATGTTAAATTATGGTAATAAAGTAAATGTCTTCATTTACTGAGCTGATCTTTCACATTTAGAATAAATATCTCCTTTGTAGTAACTCCTTAGAAAAATTCCAAAAGCTTTGTAACATTATTATGAGAAAAGATAGATGTTTTTTTCCCTCCTCTTGTGAAACTGGTTAGCAACATCCCAGAAAGCTAGAATTCCCTAGTAACCTTTAGGTCAAGTGCCTGTCTTCACACACATCTCTTTTATTCCACCTCACTTGTGAAGGAGCAGTTTATTCTTAATTCCTAGCTGCTTTTTAGGGGACCAAGTTAATCTCAGCAAAGAATGGTAAATCAGATTTGCAATCTGTGATGTTAGAAAATAGGGTGATAGAGTGATATCAAGCAGTTAGAAAGAATCATACAGATCACTTTATCTCACCACTTCACAGCCCAAAGAAGCAAAGTCTCTGTCTAAAATGACATGGCTGCCAACCTGGATTACGTAGCAGGACCCCATCTCTACAGTAAGCTATCACAAATGCACTGGGCATGGTGGTACACACCTGTAGTCCCAGCTACTAAGGAAGCAGAGATGGGAGTATCCCTTGAGCCCAAGAGTTCAAGGCTGCAGTAAACTGTGATTATGCCACTGCACTCAGCCTGGACTGCAGAGTGAGACCCTGTCTCAAAATAAAATTACGTGGCTGGTTTATGGCTGATTCTATAGTTCAGTACTGTTGATACTAGATAACACAAAGAGTGGGATTTCCTAAAGGTTCTAGTGGACTAGAATGTAAGGTTTCTAAATAAAATAAAGGCATGTGAAAACTGGCTTGGAGATTGTACCCTTCTAAACTGCTAATATCCAACGTTACATCCATCTCTCCTTAATGGGTGTGGACTCCATGTAATACAGTTGCCCAGTAAAAGAAAACCTGGTCAAGTACTGCATCAGGGAGCAGGCATTTGTCTGAGCTGCAACGCATGCTCTCTGGGTCTTGGATTTTTTCTT